CGATACGAAACTCAGATCTGTTCACTGCTTCCGGGAATTCCCATTATTGCGAGAATGATGAATTTTTTTAGAAAATTTTTCAAGTGAAAAATTTCCCGAAAATGAAAAAATTAAAAATCGCTCCATGAGGGCGCATTCTTCTTCATTTCGAATCTACAGTCGATACGAAACTCAGATCTGTTCACTGCTCCCGGGAATCCTCATTATTGCGAGAGTGGTGAATTTTTTTTGAAAATTTTTTAAGTGAAAATTTTTCAAAAAATGAAAAAATTAAAAATCACTCCGCGAGGGCTCATTCTCCCTTATTTCGGATCTGCGGTCGATCCGCAACTCAGATCTGTTCACTTCCCCCGTGAATTTCCATTATTGCGCGATTGGTGAATTTTTTTTCTCGACTAGTCAAATCGTTAATCATGCAGTTAGAAGAAATAATTCAGAATGCGAATTACCGATTAATTGATGATAAAATAAAAATGTAAAATTTCCAGCTTAATCGTTAGTGGCAATTATAAACGTCGATATAATCAGAGCATTTATGAGGATAATAGCGGCGGGATAACCCGGTAGTTTAGCCGATGGGATTGCTGACATATCCCGTATAGTTAAAATGGGTTTTTCCAAGTACGAGACATGTGCACGCGAATGACCGTCGGCTTGAAACCACACCCCGGTGTGTGGCCAGCATTGCACGATCGCTGATACACGAGAGTCACTATAAGAGAACCTGAAGAAAACAACCGGATTGCACTCCTCGTACACACCACCGATCCTATCGGCATTACATTTAGCTCCTAGGAAGCATTTAATGGTCTATGTGGTGGAGTTTGTGTGCAAGGGCGATTCCTCACGCCGATCCACAGATTGGACCTATTCACACCGGTATCCATATAAAACTGTCACGTTCAACATCTTTCCAGACCAACCATTCCCTCACCAATACCCGGGCAAAAATGTTATTGTTATACAACGAGTATAAAAAAGAGCAACAGTTGAAGCAACTGGAAATTACCCCCAACACACGTTCAATCAAATTGATAATTAATTAATGACGGTTTATAAGAATTAATGATAATTAGCAAACCGATGGAAAAAGCAAACAAAATGAGTAATAATTATTACTCATTTTGTTTGAATATCCCATTTTTTAAGAAAATGTTGGTAATTATTGATCGAGTTTATTCGAGGTCTTAATTTCAACTCATCCTCTGGAATAATTTTATCGTCAGTGTTAATAAAAGTTTTAATTAAGAGAAGTATCAATTTTTCAAAAGCTGATTTTTCACTGAATAATTTCCAGCTGATTGCAATTAAGTCCTGATGATAATGATCATGTCACCGGAATTCTATCAGATAAACATCTCATTTTTTTACACTCCACGAGTGTAAAGGAGAAATAAAATAAAAATGGAATACTCCCATATCCGTGAGTCAGAAAAATATAAAATCGTAGCGAATACTCGTCCACCGAAAATCCATAATTCATTAATTTCCAGTTACATGACCCCATTAATGAAAAATCGAGGATTTCTCGCCAGAAGTGAGTCGCCCATTGATTTTCCATTTCCGCTTGGGTATTTTTTAGTTTCTCGCAAATTAATTTAATCGCACGATGAAAAAGTCGTCGGCCGATGGTTTTCTTTGACACGCAACATCTCTTCCGCTGAATGTTTGCTGGAGTAATTCTGGCAAAGTGCTACCTTTACTCACGTCAACGGCGTACGAACTCGTTACCCCATGGTATGCTGGCACAAGCTGTCCAAGTCATGTCCTGGGACTATCCCCACAATTGCTACCACATCCTCACATTCTATTTCGTATATTTGTGGAAGATCCACACATGCAAAACTCGTTACCAAGTACGCATATACTTAGAACCAGTGTATACTTTGAAACACGTAATTGGATCGCTTGTTGGTAAATTAATGCCTCTGTAAAATAGTAACGATGCCATGTGGCTTTCCAACAATTCTACCTTCGTGGGACATGATATCTCGTTAACAATTACCGGCTGAGACTATTTTCATTGAATTATTCAAATTTGTTCAGCCCAGGGAGCTATTACAACAATAAACAAACAGCTGTTCTGACTCGTCAAGTCAGAACAATTGTCAAATAATTTTTTTCATTTAAATAGGTTTAAACTCAAAAACCATTGATGTTATCAGGAAATATCAAGAGCCCTTTTCTCCCGGAAATCTAATTTCCCACGAAAAAGTTCCTTATCATTTCCCTCTTAAATCGATAATTTTCGAGATAAATCGATTAATCATTCCATCTAAATTTACTAAATCTTGTAGGCAACAATTTAAATGGCTTTATGTAAATATTTGTTCTTGGAATTTCTATATAAACGGACATTTCGGGAATTAATCGGTGGAAATCGATGAATGTCCGTAATTTATGCTCGACGGAGGAATTTAGGGTGGCGACAATTATTGTTCCATCGGAAATTCACCGAATAATACCGACAACATGAAATCAAATGGACTTGTACGAGCATCTGGTGTGGACTTGTCGGTGCCATTGACAGGTTCTCGCTAACTGAATTTCAATCGGGAATAGTTATTTGAATATCTAAACACTTCCCTCATTCATTTATCCAACAAAATGGCATCCTCATTCGACGCGTAAAATGGCGATTAACGGTTGGAAATGAAGAGTCAAGCGAGCTGGAGGACAATATCGAGAATCCTGATCGGTTCATTAGACCTAATATACCGAGTAGCCACCCAGTCTCGATCAGATTATGATCCCTTATTCCATTGGATGGCTATAAAACCGACGAGACCTTCTCATCTCCCTCAATTGTCATCCAGTCCATTCGCCCCACTATTTTTTCAGCACAGCCGCTTCAATCTTAACAGCCATTTTACTACCAACATTATCCTGTTATTTTTCATCATCTTCTGGGATTTTCAAGCTTTTTTTCCGAATATAAATCTCCTATTCCACGAATTGACCGAACAATAAACGGAAAATACTCAAATCGTTTGAAAAAATCTATTGATTTCAGTTCTTTCAATAATTATAATATATACATGAATGTTTTTAATAATCCTTCATTAAAAAAAGTTGACGTATTCACATATTCATTTTTCCAATGTTTTTTCATTAAAAATATT